CCGGCAGTTGTCTAAGCACCCCTAGCACCCTAAAACATGTAAAAAGGTAAGGCCTCATTGTTCCTCAAAGGGGACAAAGTCCCCGCCAATGTCATCTTGAAGATTCTTCCTCCGCTTCCTAGGCAGGGTGGCAATAGGACCCAATTGGAGAAGTTGCTTCTCCAAAAAAGTCTTAGGTGCCTTGGAAAGACGCTTTGAAAGATTAACAGTAACGGGCGGGACATCTTCCTTCGATCTGGTGTGGACTAGTCGTTCAGCATTGAAAAGAACCTTGTGATCTCTTGATTGGTGGCTGTCCGGATAGACAATTCTATTAGATATGTCTTCCAGTTGCTGCCTTTTATCATTTTCTGTTTGAGGGAGTCGGTGGGCCTCAGTCTTCGTGTTCTGCTCAGTGGTAGGAGGCACCAAGGGGCCTCTCGGTTTTCCTTTCTTCTTACGGGTGACTAAGTTCCACTCCCCCAGGGAGTCCTTTCGCGGCTCTTCGTTGTCATGAGAATCGTCCATAGCTGCTTCTCTCGGGTTATCCTGCTCAGGCTGTTCCTTGGAATGTGGTTGCCTCTCGGGACGTCCCAAAGCTTTGGCCGTAGGAGGCTGTGGGAGAGGGCCACGGCTAGCCACATGTCCCTTGGAAGAAGGGTCTAGATGGCACCTCCCGTTAGCATGTCCAATAGAGCCACACTCAAAGCAAAGGTTTGTGAGTCCCTCATATTCAACACGTTGAAAGAATCTGCCATGGATCCCATTGATCCAAACCCCGGGCATTAATTTCTTTGAGATGTCAATTCTGACACATATACGTGCAAAGGAGGACCTTCCCCAACTGCTAGTGTGCAAATCCATCCATAGCGGCTCTCCAAGAGCATTGGCAATACGAGTTATGTTCTTAATGTCCCAATAGATTAGAGGGAGTTGAGGTAACCGAATCCAAATTGGGGAGTGAAGCCCATGAAGCGAGTTGGGGGAGCAATTAGAAGTCCACTTGTCCAGCCCGATGATGTTGCCGGCAATGATCCAGGGACCACTCGTTAAAACCGCATCCCTAGCCTCAATGCTTTGAAAGATGCAAATGAACGTATTAGGGGCAATAGTAACAACCTCAAAATCTCCAAAGTGACTCCACCTTCGCTTAAGTTCCCCAATGAGAAAGGGAAAAGCGATTCGTCTGCCCATGAGTTTAGCCACAACAGCTAAGTCTAACTTAGCAATATTATCAATGACAGAGTTCATCTCCGGCTCAATTGTTGATCCGTCCTTGGCAAAAATGCATTCCGGAGCCATGCTCTCAAGGGAGACATTTTGTAATTTGTTCCAAGCAAAGGGGCTATGTGGAGAGCCACGGAGATGCTTGGATGGAGCCTTGGATGGCTGCAGGCTTGGCCCAGCAGTAGTTTTTCCTTTGGGGACATTTTCACAAGCATCTTGTGTGCATGAAGCTGTAGCTTCTTTCTCAATGATGGCTGAACCATGGGGCTGGTCACGCCTAGAGCTATCAGAATCGCAATCTTTCATTCCACAATCCATATCTACCGTAATACCAACACCACTAGGATCCATACCGTGAGCAGGACTCACCTGATCATCAGGATAATCCGCCCAGGCGGTGGCTGTCCGCACCGCTGGACATACCGCCTCCGCCAATGCCTGCAGCTGCAGCTCGGCCCTGTCTCCTTGGTCATCGTCCATATCAGTTTGGGAGCCAAAAGCCTCACCCGACTCATCCATATCACTGCCCGGTCTGGCTTCCTGCTCTGACACCACCAGCTCGTCATCCTCCATATCAAGGTTGTTCTCACGCGGGGAGTCTGATTCAGCCCTAGCGGCAGCAGTAGGAGGAGAGATGCCTATAGAACTCATAATGAGTTCCCGAGCTGTAGTGGGCTTAGTGGTCAGGGAAGTGATTCCCAGCTCAAGCTTCCCCTTGAGGGGCAAAGTCACAGCGGCTTGGGCCTCCTTGGCCACAACCTCCTTTCCTTTGAGATCTGCAGCCTTACCCGATCCCTGCATATTTTCCTTGTCCGACGGATTTTGTAAGGGCTTCTCCGCCTAGCTGTGGGGGCTAAAGGAGAGTCACGATTTTAGTGCAATACTTGGAGGGTGCCTCCAAGGAGTGGATGTAGGTCAAGGTTTGACCGAACCACTATAAATCCGGTGTGTTCTTTTCTTATTATTGCTTCCGTATTTTTTTTCTTCCGCACTTTGTTTGTGGTGATTTTGGTTGGAGTTTTATCTTTGGTTTTAAAGTTTTCCAAATCACCTCTCTCTTTTAATTAGCTTTGGGCCAGTTCTATAGGACTTAACATCCCTAACGAACTTTCAAGTGGTATCAGAGCACTTTCCAGTGCCATCAGAGCACTTTCACAAGGTGTGACTCTCTACTTGGAGTTCAAATGGGGGATTGGAAGTTGGGAGGAGTTCGATTCGCTGGTGGTGTAGGCATTGTGGCATGACGAGAAGAAGAGGTGGGCTTGATCGGGAATGGAAAGATTGAACGGAACCTGAAGTTTAGCTCATGAGGAATCAGGCAAAGTATTCGTCAGTTGTGACTTGTGAGCTGTGGAAGAAAAGAAAAACGAAGGGCGTTTGTTTCATTCTCGTTTTGTTGACGTGAGTAGACAAGCGATTGCAGGTAGCAGCGAGATTTGAGCAGAATTAAAGAAAATATCTTGGATGGCGTCGGCATCGGAACCAAACAGCAGTAGGTATGCGTATTTTTTCTGATATTATTATTATTATTATTATTATCATCATCAATATTATTTAAAATAACATAATAATAAGAGAAAATTTCACTTTGTCCTCGATTTGTGTGTACTCGCCTTGGGATCCGCACAAATTTTCCTGCGTGAATTTCTTTGAGAAAAATTGAAGTCATTTCTAGATGACTAAAACCTTTCGAACGCGCTGGCGAAGTCTGTTTTGTGATTGGACGTCATTTCGGCAGCTTCGCGCATCATTTTCATTTCTAGATGACTAAATCCGATTTTGACTATTCTCGCTCGATTTGAATGCAAGAGGCTCCCTCTTAGGTAAACTTGACGCTTCGATTGCGATGGCGCGGTCTGTTTGGCAATTAGAGTTCGTTTGAACATTTAAGTGACACATTGCGCCCACCAACCTTTGCTCAAGTCGCCGATTTCACTCCTTTTTTCACATTTCTCAGTATATGTGTCAACATTATAATATATAGGTTATGTTGGGTTGGATGATGACATCATATAGGGAGGCATCATTCCAAGGGAGACAGATGCTTTAGGCACAAGCATCACAACTAGGTGCAATGCAAATACATGTCCCTTGGTATTAAGGATCGCATCGTGAGAAAAAATTGAAGTAAGAAGCAATCTCGAAGGTTGTAGGATCTGCATCTGCTTAGCATCATGTGGGCTACAAATATTTGCTATTTCTCCTTAAGGAAAAGTAATATTAACTGGTCAAACTTAGACGCAGTAAGCTTTTCTTGATTTCTTTTATTATTTTTTTCTTGTTTTCAGTAGATTATCTTAGGTAGTTAGGATCCCAGAAATTATCAAATAAGTTCTAAGGTAATTCGAAAGCTTGCACAATTGATTTGGCTCAAAGTTGGGCATTACTTTTAATTAAGAAAATTAATTAGACCTCATTAGAATCCTTATTAAATTAATTAATACCTAATTAAGTAAATTTAAGCCCAATTGACCGTAATTTTGGGGTGGAAATTTATGTTAATCAAACAAGTAGATTATGGAAACTGCCAGGTCATCCAATCTTCTTGGAAAACACCAAAAAATAAAGATAAAAAATTAACAGATTATTCAATGTTTAAACATGTACTAGATCAATCGAGAAACTGGTTCATTTTACAAACAAAACAGGAAAAGATTTCAAGTCTGCTATTCAAGCAGTTAACTATGATGCATAGACACGGCAACACGAATATGACACGACACAGATACGAGACACGTCAATTATTGAAAAATATAAGACTCGGACACTGGTTGGACACGGTATTATAATTTTTATATTTTTAAAAATAGTGCATAAAAATTAAATAAATATAATATTAAAAATAATTTAGAAATAATAAGTTATTTAACTAGAATTTGTGTTTAAAATGATTAATATCAGGATGTTGAGAGTCAGCCACTATGTTATGCAGTATGTATTAGGTGTCGATGTCAAAAAGGCATCTGTCGTCGATGTTAAGATGACGTCGGATAAAGATGAAATATCAAGTTGTGAGTGTAGAAATTGTTAACATCGAGCATCAATGTTAAGACAGTCTTAGACTTTGATGTTGAGATGATTTTGAAATATCGATGTTGCAACGATGTCAGACGTCGATGTTGAAATGACATTGGACATTCTTGTGAAACCAAAGTCACAACCACCAAATAGAATGAAAATGAGAATATTTGATGAATGGGATATTGAGTGCAGGTGATTAATTTGGTGTTGTGGATAGGAAATAAAAAATTTAGTTTTTTATATTCAAAATAAAGAAAATTTTAAATACAAGAAATTATATTTGTTAAAAAAATTATAAAATATTTTAAATATGATTCGAACATTGCACGCCTCTTCGAGAAGAAGTTTTGGTGCATCATAAACAGTTAACTACTATCCTCTTGTAAGAAGTATGTCAGTGAGGCTCCTCCAAAGATGAAAATCAGATTTTCTTGCTGGTCCATCTCATAAGGTTCACATGTCAGTCAACAATTCTCACAAAACATAAGTGATATTATTCTTTAAACCGGTCATACTAAACTGATTTTTCTCCATATCTACGCATTTTATATACCTTTCAAGGAAACCCCCTCTCCCCCCAGATCTATATTTTTCTCCTCATTTATAATCATCAAAAGAAAACAAAGATTTGTTTAAATTATGTAAATGAAGAAACATGATAGGCCATCTATATATAAAATTATTGAAGAATTATAAAACTGAAGCTGAAAAAATAAATAAATAAATAAAAACTACCAGATTTTCCTCCAACCATTACAGGACATTGCATGTACCTTCGTTACTCTTGCTTTACGAGCTGCTGCCTCTGCTTCCCTCATTTTACGGGTCTTAAGAATTTGAGATTGGGCTGTTTATGCCACCAGTAAGTCAGAAGCAGGAGTTTAAAGGGAAGCATGACATTATCATTCTTGGATTTCAAACAGCTAACGTCCATTACAAATCATCTGTTAAATGAATGGTTTAAGAATGAACTCATCATCACAATTATGGTGATAAGTTGAAGTATGATGATCATGATCATGATCATGATCTCATTCACAAACACCAATCTTTTGCATTTCAACAGAACCGGGAAGTTAAGATCAAATATCTTAGAAATCAATGAATTCAACCAACAATGTTAAAAAATCTGTCGGGCTTTACCTCCCAGTTTATCACCTATGATATGGTAATAATCTTCAGGAGTGAAATCATAAAAATCATCAGGCTCATCTGCATAAATCAATTGCTAATAAGAAACAATGACTTTTTCTATAGGTCATCAGAACAGCAAGTTCCATAATCCTTCTAAAGTTAAAACAAGACAACAACAGGAAACAAATGCCAAGCAAAAGTTTTAGTATGAAGAATAAGAAATAGCTAGATTCAATAAAAGCCCAATGCAATTCCGAACATTAAATGCCCATGACTGAACAGTGTCAATTCCAATAGAGAAAAAATAAGCAAGAGAAGATAAAGTAATACCCCATGCATACCATTGGGAGGAGCAGATATTTCATCAGATGAACAAGATGTTGCTGTGTTTGTGAAAACACGGATTTCACGTCCAAGTTCATTCGCAAAAGATAAAAGCTTGGCCTGAGAATATATGTAATAATTAATTTACCAAAAACAGCAATAAGTAGTTCAACATTATGCCATAAACATAAAACCTGCAGAACACATGCATAAATCATAAAGTATTTGTGCGTAAATACCAACGCTGTCATTTCTAAAGCTGTTAGATCAAAATCACTACACAGCAATTTTGAGCTCTCAAAATGTTGCCACACATCCAAACCACTAGTCAAGTGCATCTGATTCATTTCCAACTTCAAAGCCCCAAATCTGACTAAATGCATCCTTAAAGAGAAGAGAGATAGAGAATGTGTATTGCATTGAGGGCCTTACACACTTATTTATACAAGATTCTATGATATGCTAGGAAATTTTAATTTTGGAAACAGCTAATTTGCTTGATAATTTTAGTAGGATAGAATGTAAAATGTATTGATGAAATTTCTATAAACACACACATGAAACTTGCACAGAAAATTCCTGGATTGGAATTCCAGCTGGATTACACCAGCTGCTCTGTCAGTATTGGGTTTGCACAACAAACATATATCCAACATGCAAAGCAGGGCTTAATTCATAGCATATATCACCTTAAAGGCTGATTGTTCATGACAAGCCTCTCAATGGACACCAGGAAAAACAGAAACATAAAATTACAATAACAGTCAAATGAAAATGGCCATCAATTTTGATGTATGTAGTCTCAATCAAACAAGTTGATAACACTATAATAAAGTCCTAACTAATATAAATAAGGAAAGTCGAATCACTAAGCTAATCACCTGGTAGGCTATAACAATCTATATTTGAATAACAAGTGATTAAGCATTCAATGAGTTTTCATTCCACGAACCATCTATTATATATAACATCTTAAAAATATTCATAAATAAATCTTGAAGCAGCCCTCAAGCTATCCCATTCATAATATCGTAGAATAAACATACATTAAAAATGATTTCACACGAAACAAACTGATGGGAAGGTTTTCAAAAGGTTTTAAGGGTTGTTAGAGTGGAAGCAGAAGGGTTAGGGTTGGTAGAAGGCTTAAGGAAATTATCGACAAGTTTAGGATTTTTGGACAAATTTCTAGTTAAAACTTTATGGAAATGAAAGACTGGGATTTCTTTGATGGTAAAAGGTGAGAACATCAAGATCACAGGTTGGGGATGTAGCAAATTAATAATGGTGAGTTTAATAAGTTAATTATATATGTGGTTGGAAAGTTAGGAATTTTATGTGAACTAATCACAGCAGGTGGAAAACAGGAGTTAAGGTTATGTGGTAAGAGTAAGGCTTTGGGAGGGTTTAGGGGATGAAGAAGAAAAAAAAAAGAGAGAGATAATGATATGTTAGTTCGCAAACATCAACTATGATTGATTTGGAAATCAATTAAAAAACTAGTAGCACCACATTTCTATAAACACATTTTTTGCAAGAGATCAAAAAAATTCTTCATTGAATCACGGGTAGAATAAATTGTTAGATATTGGTTCTTATTTGAAAATGTTAATTCTCTATTTACTTAATTCCTTAATTTTACTTTTTTGCCCCTTTTAGTTGTTTAGTATAAATAGGAGTGTCATGTAATGTTTGGCATATAGCAGAAATAAAAATTCAGTTCATGTTTTCTTCCAAATATGTGAGCTCTCTCCCTCTATCCCTCTATTTTTCCCTTTCTCTATCTCTCGGTGGAAGCAGCCACACAGCTGCTAGTTCTCAGTCCAGGCAGGGTTTAAGGCTGCGGTGGAAGAGAAGAACCAGAGAGCGAGTGAATCTCAATACAGGAAGGGAGAAGGAAGCTGTGATGTAGACGCAGCTGTGAAGGGGACCGGGTGAAGAAGAAGTTGTTGTAGCTGTTGGAGAAGAAGAAAGTAGGTTGCAGCTATTTGTAGAAGAAAACAACAAGGTGCTAAATTCAAGATATATCTTCCTCCAAGGTTTGTTTTCCCAACAAACGGTATCAGATCTTGGTCAAGAAAGATCAATGGGACGGAGGAAGGTGTTTAATGAATTCAAGAGGAAATTCCAACCAAGACGTGGAGTTTCTTGGCTGTTTTTGGTGGACAGCAGGTGGAAGAGAAGCTTTTCTTGGTTGTTTGGCAGAGAACAGGTGGAAGAAAAGTTTTTTGGGCTGTTTTTTTATGGATACCAGGCTATCTTTGTGGACAACAGGTGGAGGAGAAGCTTTTCTTGGCTGTTTTATGGACAGCAAGTAGAGGAAAAGTTATTAGGGCTGTTTTCTATGGAGAGCAAGTGACTAGCGGTGAAAGTCTTTCTTGGGTTGTTCTTTGTAGATAGTAGGTGGAGGAGAGCAAGTGACTGGCGGTGAAAGTCTTTCCTGGGCTGTTCTTTGTGGACAACAGGTGGAGGAGAGCAGGTGACCGGCGGTGGAAGACTTTCCGGGGCTGTTCTTTGGGACAGCAGGTTGAGGAGAGCAGCAACTGGGCTGTTTTCTAGATTGAAGGGCAGCTGCAGCATTCTTTAAGAAAGGATGTTCACGGCTAAGCTTCAAATTGAGAAATTCACATGTCTTAATGATTTTAGCCAATGGAGGTTTCAGATGAAGACTCTTCTAGTCCATCAAGGTTTTGATGCAACCCTATCGGAGGAAGGGATCTTGAGAATATAAGAAATATTGCACAGAGATGTGCTTAATAAGGCACATAGTGCAATTCTTTTGTGCCTGGGAGATGAAGTTCTAAGGGAGGTTACTGATGAAATAACGGCTATAGAGATTTGGAAAAAATTGGAATCTCTATATCTCAAAAGCTCTCTAGCCAATAGGCTTTACCTCAAGAAGTTGTACACCTTGTAAATTGATAAATCCAAGCCCTTGAAAAAGCACTTGGATGAATTCAACTAGATTATCTTGGATTTGAAAAGTGTAAGAGTGAAGATTGAAGATGAATATCAAACAATTATTCTACTAAGCTCATTACCTTATAAGTTTGAGCATTTTTTGGACACCTTGTTGTATGAGAAGGAGACTCTTGCTATGGCCAAAGTCAAGGGTGCACTCAACTCCAAGGAGTTCAAGGAGGGTTGAGGTGAAGCATGAAGGGGTGGTTGATGCCCTTGTCGTAAGAGGTAGACCCAAGAAGTGGGAATCCAAAGCTAAGAGCCATGCTAGATCCAGGTCTAAATGCAAGGTGAAGTGCTTCTTTTGTCACAAGGAAGGCCACTTCAAAAGGCAATGCCTGGAAATGAAAAACGAACATCAAGAGAAAGAAAGGAATAGTGAAGATGCCTCATGTGTGGAGGAAGGGTATGAAAGTTCAGATACCCTTGTAACCTCAAATACCAAGACAAGCAAGGAGTGGCTACTTGATTCCAAGTGCTCTTACCACATGTGTCCAAACCGTGGGTGGTTTGAAAAATTGGAAGAGAAGGAAGGAGGTTTGGTATTCTTAAGGAACAACAAATCATGCGAGATCCAAGGGCAAGGTAGCATTCGATTGAAGATCCATGATGGATTGGAGAGGGTTCTCAAGCAAGTGAGATATGTACCTTAACTTAAAAGAAATATGATTTCTTTAGGAGAATTTGATAAAAATGGATACGCATTTAAGTGTGATGGAGGAAGTCTCAAGGTGTGCAAGGGTTCACATGTTATATTCAAAGGTGTAAGGATGAATGTTGTATACACATTGCAAGGCAAAACATTGATTGGTGGACAAGCTAGTGATGGGGACATGGAGCATGGAAAATATATCAAAGGCGTGGTCGTCGATCTACGGCCACGATCGAGTCAATGTATTTCTGAATCATTTTATGTATTTATTTTCTTATCATGTTATTTAGCTTTATTTATTTATGTTGTATTTGTTTTCCCGTTTACCCCTATTCCTAAGGTAAGTCGTATGTAAGCCCTAGGGGCATTGTCGTCCTTTATTTTGAGTTCTTTGTACGAGGCTATTTATAGCCCTTATGTTCTTCTTCTAAAGTTAATGAATGAATGAATGAATGAAATTTTTTGTCATTGCTTGAGTTCTTGGAAAGATCTTGAGAGTGCTTGGAGATAGATCCCTAGGAGAGGGAATTTGGATCACCCAACAACCTTGGAGACGGCCAGGTTCGTGATTCTTCTTCGTATCTAGTTTTACATTTCCCCTTAGTCACGTAGCCATCGGCCATCTAACCCACTTCCCCACCCCAAGCCACAGGCCATCTTAGCCTCCTCCCTCACTCCACCGAAACCCCCCACTAAGACCCACCATGCCACGGCCCTACTCCCTCCTCCTCTTCTCCTCCATCCTTGCTTACATTGATTCCTTTCCTAATTGGGTTGATTAATTTAGGTAAGTCGATAACTTTTAATTTGAATTTGAAAAGTTGCCTAAAATATCATTCCTATTTTATGAAACTTTCCAATCCATGCCTATTGAATTAAAGTTAAATTAGGATAAAATTTTTCATCCTAAATTTAAGTCCATAACTTAAGGAAGCATTTATGCTTCCTTACTCTCTCTCCCTATCCCATTAAGCTGTCGACTCCCCTTTGAAGTAAATTTGGATTTATTTCCTAAAATCCACACACTCTCTTGGAAACAATTCAAACTCCCTACCCTCATTCGTGGCCGAAATTCCCCTAGCTCCCCTTGTTTGATTTCTTTCCAAAAGAGCACCTCCCCATTTGGAATTAAATTAAAAACCCCTCCTTCTCACCCTTGCCGTCGGCCCCTCTCTCCCTTCCCCTTGATTATTACACTCAAGGGATCTAGAAGGAAGTTGTTTAAACTAAATTTCCCTCCACTTAAATCTTCTAAAATCTGAACCAAAATTTCCCCTAGCCCTTTTCCCTCGGCTGGCCACCTTCCCCTACTTCCTCCTACTACTTCCTCCTACTGGGATTCTTGAAAGGAAACCCTTTCTTTCAAGGGAAAACGGCAAGGATAGCAAAGGATCTTTACCTTCAACTCTTCCATGTTTGGGGAAGACTTCTTTCTCTCCAATTGAACCTTCAAGGGAAGTTACGACAAAGTTCTTCAACATCTCGACTACTTGTTTCTAGGCATTGA